AAAATGCACACCATCTTTAATTTCTCTTATTTGAAAACAAATAAAGCAAGCAGCCATGATAATTAGAGAATTCGAGTTTGAAGAATTTCATGGCAGAATAAACACTGTTGGATACAAAAAAAAAAAAAGAATATCTATTAACATGTTTGAAGAGAAATTCAATGAAATGAACATAGAATCTCATGCATTCATCATTGTTAAACAGATAAAAAAATATGCAAATATTTGAGAACTATATCCTCCTACAGATTTCTTGTTAACCAAGGACACAAATAAGCTCTCCATCTCTAAGACCAAAATTGGAAAATGACCTTTGAAAGGAATGCTAAAACCTTTACAACAGAATTCGAGTGACAGCAGATTTGCTGTTCTCTTCTCTGTTAGCAATGCCTGCAAGTTGGCTTTTGTCCCTCTGTTATTCTGCTTCATCTCCATTACTATTTGCATCAGGCGACAGCAACTTGGCTTTCTTCTTCTTCTTTTCCAACAATGCTTTAGCAAATGCGTCCACTATCTGTTGCTGTGACTCCAGTATCATCTGGTTATGTTTCATCTCCATCTCCATTCTCATCTTCTCAATCTCCTTCACCATTTCCATCTTCATCCTCTCCATCTTCACAAAACCTTCTGCCAAAACCTTAATTGATGAAACCATCTCCTCCACTGGATCCAATCCCATCTTGGCTCCACCATCACCCTTCTTCCTCCCAAACCGCAGTCTTGATGAAGAAACAAACCCATTCAAGAACTCAAAATCAGCATTGGGATCCAAGCTCCCATCTATTCCAACAGACTTCCTTTTCAAAGGAATCCCTGGAGGTATTGAATCCCAATCAGTTGAAACTTTAGCTTGAAATCCAGCACCTTCATCAATCATATACTCTTCGATTCCATAAGCATAATCAAAATTAGAGCTGAAATTCACATTTTGCTTGCTATAATTCTTAGACTTAACCCCTGCAGGCACCACACTCCTCACAGGAAACCCACCAGCACTGCGATCAATATCAACAATCGAACCATACCCATCCACAATTCTACCGTTCCCCCTAAAGATCATATCTTGTGCCCCCAAATCCCTATTACTCATCAATTTCACACCATACCCTCCTCCCAATTCGTTATCAGAATCAAAATTACCTTTGAAATTGGCAAACTTTGACACATAACCACCTCCATAATCATCTTCAAAACTTAGATTAGACCCAGGAACCCCATCGCCCCTGCCTTGATTCTTCGACTTTAACCTAATCCCATCGGGAGCAATTTCATGATCAACAGCGTGATCTTGATCACCAGATCCAGTTGCCGAGGAAGACGCAAAATTCATAGAATCCAGCAGAGGAAACAAGTCCCAAGAAGAAAAAAACTTTCCTGGACATCTGAGGCTCCGCTGCTTCTCCCCACGGTAACGCTTCCTCAGCTTCTCGATCTTGTGCCGGCACTGAACGGAAGACTTCGTCCCTGAATCCGATGCGGAAGAGACAGCCGCAGCCACATTATCCCAATCAGAGGCCCTGAGATTCCCACGTCCAAGACCGAACCACTTTTCCCGGTAAGCGTCGATCAAGGCTAGGGTTTCCTCGCGGGTCCAGCAAGGCGGTGGCACCCTCCGCTTAGAGGCGGGTTGCGGAGGAGGACTGGACATGGCGGTGGTGGCGATGGTGTAAGAGCAGGAAAGTGAAGGTGAATGCGTGAGAAAAAGGGAAGGGGAGGAGTAGTGGAGGAGGCGTAGGGCATTGCGGAAGAGGAGAAGTGGGGTGGGAGTAAAGGAGGCGAGGGAACTGGGGGCGGTTGGTTGCCTTAGTGGGCGGGGGGTGCCAGCTAACGTGCACGAGATGGGTAGTGCAGTGCGCACACCACGGAGGCACACGACAACCCACGCGTAGGACTCGGGGTAGCTACTAGTCCGCCACTAATGACGCTCTTAACGGGAGGAGGCTCCGACTTGGCGGCGGCGGTGGTGGCGCCTCAAAAGGCCTTTTAGACTTGGTAAAAGCCTCCTAAGCGGAGGCTTCTTTTCTTCTGGTATTTCCGTTGGGCCTTAACAGCATATAATAAGTCTGTTGGGCCATTGAAGAATATTGGCCCAAATAGCTAAAGGTGAAAAAGAGAAAAGAGGAGGATCCGATTAGGATCGGGGTTTTGAACCCGACGTGAATCGAACACGCAACCTTCTGATCTGGAGTCAGACGCGCTACCATTGCGCCACGAATCCGTTGTTGCTAAGCTCTTTTCTCAAAATTCCTATAGAGTTTACAAACATTTTTTGGGTTCCTCTCCTCAGTTATAGTACACCCCCAACTAATTTAGAAATAAATTAAATTAGACTTTATAAGAGAAAAACTCTTCTAAGACTTATCTCTTTATTTACAAAAGTTAAACCCTAAATTTTATTTAAAAAGAATTAAATTCCTTCTATTTGAACTAATAGAGTATCACTCAATTTTCCATTTTCTATTTATTGTTTACACCCTCATGTGGGTTTATAAACAACTCAAGCTCCACTTAATTATAATTTGTCAAGCTCAAGCTGGATTTGAGTTGAATTTGAACTTTGAAATTTAAGCTCATGCTTAAGCTTTGATTATTTAAAAATGATAGACACTCACCTCAGGAACAATTTAGCATGCGTACATGAAGTTTGTCTGGAAAACATGTCACAGTAAATAAATGGTGTCCATAACAATCGCAACTTTTCAACTGTAAAAGAGAACAAAAGAGAAAGTTTACAAATGTTCTTCCTTGGAATCAAAATTTGAGAGTTAAAATCTAAGTGATAGCTCCGGTAATAATTATGCTATATGATGATCAGGGCGGAAAGGTAGTACAGCCTGGGCATCCATACTAGTCACATTGGCAATGAAACAGCGGAAATGAACAAAATGGTGAAAATGTAAAAATGCCATACGCACAGAAGAAACAAATACCACTTCACTCTGATTTCACATCTGTTTTAAGATCTCCATTGCTTTTTCTCAGTCTTCGGAACATTAAGGGAACAGGTTTTTCAAGGATGGAGACGTTAATATTGTTCCAAACATCTGACTTGGTTGGGAGTTGTGCAATTTTCTCTGCAATCCCCATATCTTCAGGAAGAATGAAACCAAAGACAGTGTATGCTTTTTTCCACTCCGGGTGGTTTGCTAGGCTTATAAAGAACTCTGGGCCAGAACCGACCCATGCAACTGAACCTCTACTTATGGTAGGACAAGCCTCTGTGGGAATCTTTTTGAATGTTGTTCCTTGAGCCTCAAGTGTTCCTTGAATCAGTGCAAATGGGGGACCAAGAGGAGTCTGCAGATTTACAAAAGGAAGCATTTTGAGCCGTAAATACAATCCCTTAAACAACTGTTAGCATATGATTTCACTCGCCAGAAGCCAATAATTTGAATAAACATGAATGAAGATCGCTCTTCAAACTTTCACATCAACACTTATGATGATGGCATAATAATCATTAGATAACGAAGGTAAAGGAAGAATTTCTCAGTTTTACTTGCCAACCACTTGCCACACTCTCCAGCTAGTTTGTGATTTAGACCTATTTTTGCCTTTACGCTCTATGCAATAAAGTTCACAAACCAAAAACGCAATAATGATGCAGCCATAATGAAAAATAAAATGCAAGACCAATTGTCTTTTGTGAACAATTCAACAGAAAAGACAGAAGGAAAATCATCAACATCAACTCTTACATTTTTTATGTGGTTTCCTTCCGAATCCCAAGAATGCCCCCTATTCTCTGCACGATATATTTTGCAACCGGCACAATGGCGTAAAGCCAACAACTTGAGAATGTAGTCCACTGAATGTGGGGAACAGTCTGGGAAAAGCTGCACAAAATCAAGTATGTTGGTTACTGTACGAATCACTAATCACTTGGTTGCTGCAATTCTCAAAAGTTAGTTCCTATAAAACTAGAAAAGCAATAGTTGGAGATGACTTTATTAAAGGTGACATGTCATCAAGCATGACTTTCACTGTATGTTTAAATCTTAGCAAACCGAAAGGGTAAAGTAAAGAAACAAGGAACCAATTCTTGAAGGCTCACACAATCATCCCAAAAGTATAAGAATTCATCTTTTCTTTAAACTTTACCAAGCACTGCCTGAGACCATATATGTAAAGTGGAATTAAGTACTATTTACAGACTTTTAAGACAGATCATAGAAGCAAAATGGGAAAGAGGGGAATAATCAATAAAGCCTTCTAAACTTTAATAGGCACTTACTTTTATGTGGAGAGTACCATACTTCGTTTCCATCTCAACAATGCCCTGGACACAGAAGACATACGAAAGAATATCAATTCTTAATACTTCTAAACAATTTTATTCACTGTTAAAAACTGAAAATCAAGGCAATTTAAATGCTTAAGACGATCACAAGTAACAGACAATTATCTGATATATGAACACCATTCATAAATCCCATCAAACTTATATACCTCTCCTTTCCCAAAGATGAGCCCAGAAGTCCAACTGACTGTTTGGCCTGCTTCTTGCCGATCAGGATCCAAAATATCCTTTTGTTTCTTCAACCAGCACTGGCAGTAGGAGGAAGGAGGATTAAATATGAAATTATAGATCCAATAAGGCAACAATCAGAAATTTGACATGAGATTAAATAATTTAATTTTGTTTTGAACCATAGGTAAACAAAAATAGAAATTCAACTGCAATGCAGTCTCAAGAGACAGATGTCCTTGATCATACTGACAAATTTTATCAGCCATGAACCACGTAAATGGAAACTAATGAGCAGCATTCACAGTTTTTCTATAAACATCTCAAAGGAAAATCTTTCATTAACAAAATTATAATGTTGTTAAATTCATAGCTGTATCCATTTTCACAGAATTAAACACTACACAAAGCAAAATCTAAACACAGTGCATCAGTAATTAAAATCAAACGGAACTGAATTTAGCATTGTTTGCTTCAGCAACTCAAACCAGTACAAGCCAGAGCGCCACTAATTAAGAGAAGATGAAAACTCAATTAGCATTAACACTAAATTAACCAAAAAACACCATCAAAGAACAAAAAACTCACCTCTCCAAATTTTGATCCACAAGTCTCCTTATTCCCACAGAAGACCCAGGAATCACATAAGCAAGGCCCATCAATTCCACTACACATTGCCTTACAAGCCTTACAACACTCCACAGAGGAATTGAACTTGAGCTCAGTCCCCCACTTCACCGCAGTACCCCAGAGCTCCAAATTCTCAATCCCTCTGCAACACTCACCATCCTTCCCCTCCAAATCCACACCTCCACCCTCCCCCAGCATTTCCAAAGAATCAAAGCTCGAATTCTTCGAGCTCCCATTGGAGTTTACAAGTGTAGAAACAACTGCGTACACTAAACCGAAAGAAATCAGACCCACCAAGACGAGAAAGAGAGAAGTGTACCGGGAGGGATCTGGGTCGTTCTGCCTCCGACCCATTTGAGATTTCGAAGTGACTGCAAGGACCCAGGAAGAAAAATGGAGTCTTGGATCGATAGCCGGAGCAGATGGAGAGAGATTTGGATTTTGAGGTAGCGTTGACTGCAGAGGGTGGGTAGAATCCGAGGATGGGTATTCATGGAGGTCGCCAGTAGAATTAAATAGACTTTAAAGACACGAGAGAAAGAGAGTCGCTAAGTCAATTCTGGCTATCGCCCCCCCCGTCGGGGAAGTTGACCGGAACCGCCAAAAGAATACAGCTTCTGTATTCTGTCTCCTATTGTGAATCTTATCCCCAAAAAACGATGTCGTTTGTGTCATGGGTAAACTTCACATTTTTATTCTTTGATTAAAAAAAAAAAAAATCTTTCCCGCCCAGCTCAATATCTAAATGCCACAATGGACTGGGCCTGACCACAGAGAGGACAAGAAGTCTTTAGAATAACCTACTGGTTTCTAATGTGGATAAATAACTTTTATCGTGAGAAAGATATTTTGTATATAGAGGAAGTGCGGATGCTATTCTTTGCCATCCCGTACTTAGGAAGTTTAGACGGTGAAATTTGGTTCTAGAAGTGCAGTGGACCAATCCACTGGTTTAGCAGCATGTTTGTCTATTTCCTTGCGGGTAATTTTGGGATTGTCTGCATGTTTTATTGCCACAATTAATGTTGAGGCTCTGGTTGTCGAGACTAGTGGGGATTGCAGTGTTATCCTCGGCAAACCTACCTTTAACTACATGAGAGGTATATTCTTCTAATCTCATTTGAAACTAGAGATCTATTTGGTATCACCTTGATTTTGGGGTTTTCTTGACTTCTCTCTTTGTTTGTTTTTTCAACAGTTCTCTTCCCTCTCTTTTTTTTTCAAAGAATAGAAACCTGTGGAAAATCTTCTCTCTCTTTTTTTTCGTTGTTCAAAAATATCTTAAATAGTACTATTTATATGTTATACCTTCTTTCTTATATATTATTTATGTTTTCTATTAACTTTATTTGATTTTTTATTATATATTTATAGATTTCAAAATATGTTAATGATTTTTTTTTATTCCTTTCTACCTGTACTTGTTAAAATGATAATTAATATTGCAGGATAGAATTATATGATGTAAATAGTTAAAAGATAGTAAAAATAATATCAGAAATTATATTTTATTATTAAATATCAATAAATAAGTGTAAAAAGATAATTGTTAAATATGTAATAATAAATTATGTGTTAAATAGTTATTATATTTTCATATACACATACTTGTAAGCATATTAATGATAAATTTTCCACGGTCGAGTTTTTTTATACCATTTTATTTCATGTAATTCAATTTGGTTTTCATAAACTTATTATGATATTTCTCCACAACTTTAATAGATAAAAATGTAAGGAAACAACAACATAAGCAAGAGAACTTCAAATCGAAATATTTTCTTTTGACTACTTGATTCTTAAAATTTTCAACTTTTAAGTTTTCTTTGGCCAAAAAAAAAAAAATTGAAGTCTTCTCTTTTTATTTTTTATTTTATTTTGAATTTTTTCATCATTTTTTTTTTTTTATAGAAGGTTTTTATGGTGATACCAAATGACTCTACAAGTTTCAAACGAAGCGAAGAAAAATATACCTTTTATGAAGTTTAGGCAAGGCATGTTGTGGAGAATATTGTAAGCGATGCCAATTATCTTGATGACACCTTTACCTTGGCAATTCAACAAAGTGATATTAACATGATTGCTGGGGGATACCCTCTGAAATGGGACATGACATGTTTGCTTAACTTTATTGGTTCGTTCATTGTATTTCTTTTTCAACCAAATTTTATCTAGTCTCAAAACTTATAAATGTGTGGTGTGGAAAGAATATCAAATGTACGGTCACAATATATAAACTCCTTTTTTTCTCGTTGAAGTTTGCAATCCATGGCAAACCAGTAGATTGTTCTATAGAATGAATCCTGATTAAGGTTATATCCTTGAATTAGATTTTAGATTATGGTTTACTTAATGGACCTTTATCTAACATTAATCTGTTGCATGTTTTGTAGGGATTGGAGATCTTAATTTCAAATAAAGAGCAGTACGTGAAGAGTTAAAAAGATTGGAATTTTTACTTTTTGTATGGTCAATATCGAAATGTTAAAAAAAAAAATTGTAATTGGTGTCATTTTCTGTTATAAACAAGTTTCTTCCATCCTCCTTCTCATTTCATTCATCATAACACAAATTTATAGCCAACACTAAATAACTAATCTTATATAAATGATATTTGAAAATGAAAGAACTCCATCGATAAAGCAATACACTTTAGAAGTGCATAAAAATATGAAGAAAACATAATCCCATATGACCTACATCTTCCATATGACAATGCTTAATCATTCTGTCAGCCTTCCCACATTTATTCGGGATTTGAAACCCTAGCAATTGCTTGGTCACAAACATTGGGCCTTTGAGTAGGCATCTGTGCCTCTTCTAGTAGGATATGCATTGTTTCTTTCAACACCTAGGGATGGTTCATGTCCTGAGTCCACATTGTTTGTATTGTCAACTTCAACTAGCATATGAGGATGATTGGACCATGGAGTCAAGCAGCATATAAGGATGCTTTAGGCTAGAGGCAGCCCCAGATAGCAACCCTTGAGTTGCATTCTCAAGTGCTTTTTGTCTTTGTTTTGGTTGATTATATATTGCTTAATCATTTTGTTTCTTTGGAGGAATAATATAGTATTGCATTTTATATAAGAAAATAATGATATGGATGCTTGTTAATTTATGTAATTTGACTGATGCTATAAATTGAAATGGTTAATTTCAAATTAATAAGCCAGATGAAATCGCTTGACAAATTGTTTGGGCTGCTATAGTGACCTTAATTGTCTTTTCGGGTAGTGCCTTAATGTCTTTACCATCTCTGGATGATTATCTTGTTCCTGCTACATAGAAGTTCTTGGATGCTCCTGAACATTAGTGGGCAAGTGTGTGTTTGGCTGGGATGATCCTGAATTTAGTTTATTTTCTATTGGATGGTATTTTCAGTTGTACTACTATAGACGTCTGTATAATCCAAATGTAGTTACCTATATAGATTCTATTCCTTGACTTAATGTTTCTATTTTTATTTTCTTTTAGTTGTTTTCATAGTAAGTGGGAAGTGTTGGAAGAAGACCTAGTATTAGGTTTTTTTTGTATGTAAGCGAGTAATGATTCAACTATCTTCTGGGGCCTAAATTAACAATCTATCCTCTCTTTATTGTTGGAGTATGGTTGTTTTATTTTCACTTTCATTAACATGTTGCTAATACTTATAGGTTTCCTTACCTAGTCCCCTTTTTCTATTGCAGTTTATAGTTTTACCGCAATGTAGTAATTAATGTGGATCTTACTTGATGAGCTGTCATTGTGATATCTTTCAAAGCATATAAGCCTCTTAAGTCTTAACATCTTGTAGAGTTTTTATGTATGATACCTGCTTCTTGAGGATTGAAAGTGGAGTAATTTATATGTTTTTGAAATTGCAAATGTTTAGCAAACTAGAGGCATGGAACCTTCAAACAATTTGCTTCAATCTATTGCTCTATTAGATAGAGGGCCTTGCTATGTGAAGACTTAGGCAGTTAAAAGGATGCGTACCATTAAGGCTTTGGATTATTAGCCACCAACCTCTAGCTTTCCTAATATTGTCTTCCTTAATTAGTAGTTTCCTAGTTATAGTGGACCTTTTATTTCCTTACCTTTTGTTTCAATTTAATCCTGGGGTCGCACTTCTAACTTTTATTTGTTTTCCTTCTAGATACTTGTATGAATTTTTATGTTGGGTTAATATGATGAAATGTTTCTCTGGGCAAAAATAATAAATGATTGCTATTGGTTGGTGCCTTGTAAGTTGTCAACCTTGGACTCAACATGTAGAAGCAATGCTGGAATTAGCTGGTTGATAGTAATGCAACCATTATTATTGCTGTTGGGCTCATTCTAAGGCTTTCCACAGTACATCAACTTACAGAGCCTTGCATGCAGTTCCAAATTCTCCACCACATAAAGCTTGCAACTGAGGGATTGGGAGTTACTTGTGAGAGACTTCACATGACTATGTTTGATGTAGAAGGGAAAGTGCTCACTAGAGGTCTAGGAGAAATAACTAATTCATGAAGGTTTATGTAATCAACATTAAAACATAAAAGAAAACATTTTATCTTTGAACTTTTCCCAATGCTACTTAAGACTATGTAAGTGGTAACAAGGTACTAAACATACTATTTATAGACTTGAATCTAGAAGTGACAGGTGAAGGGTACCATATTGTATTTGTCTAATATGTACATATATAAGCACTTACTTTTCTGTGGAGAGTACCATATTTTGTATCCATGAACCATCTCAACAATCCCTTGAACGCTGAAGACAAATGAAAGAATATCAATTATATACGCTACTAATTAACAATGCAACATTCAAGATCCAAAGTACCTTTCTCCTTCTTAAACACGTACTGGCATTGGCATTAGTAAAAGGTAGGGAGTCAAAAATATGAAACTATAACTCCAATGAGATAACAATTAGAAATTTGGCATGGCATTAAATAACTTATGTTATGGTAAACAAAAGTAGAAATTTAATTGCAATAATGTTTGCATCATATCAAATGTAATTTGCAGAAAAAGGATCAGAAAGATTATTTCATAAGAAATCCAATACAAGGTTTAGTAAAACTAGTGATGTTAAAGGGCACTTAAATGGTCATTTTCCTTTATAGTGATAGGCAATAAGTAGATGGTGTTAGACATCTCTAAAGAACTAGTTAACTTGAAGCTCGTATTCTTTAAATAGTATTTTTATAACAAAGAAATTGAAAGCTGTGAATAGTTTTGTTAGATATTTTCTTGAACTCTTGTGCCAATGTTCATTTTGCTTCCTTTAAGCTTGTGGTGGCCACTTACTCTTGTCTCAGAACAACACTTTAAGAGTACCATTTTCACAACGAATGCCTAGGTATTCAATAGCCAAATTCATTGGCCAATTTAGCATCCCATGCTTCATCTTGGGATCCATAAAGGCAATTAGTGCTTTCAACCTAACCTGCACCCAAACTAAAACCCTTGCTACTTCACTGGCCTTGGGAATGCAATGCAAAATCTCAATTACAGGATTCACTACCTTCACCTCAAATTTGTATGTGACCTTCACCAAGAATTCATCAATTATTTTATCAATAATGCTTATCTTTAGTGGCAATTTTTTGACTAGCAATGGTGTTGAATTGATTCCCCTTAGAAGAATGAACATCAAGCATTTAAGCGATGAAGATTGTAATGCCCTAAATCCCATTGATGGGACTTACGAATAAGTCTGATATATATGTGTGAAGACCAATCACTACTAATAACTTAAGTTTAAGCATTTGAGGGTCTATAGACCTTAGCTCAAAAAGTTGTTAAGCCAATGATGGACTACATTAGCCCAAGTTATTTTAATTGATATCAAAGAGGTCATTTTCATAAGTGTAGACCTATGTTAACAATCATAACTAATGATAGTGTATACCACACATCATTGGAGATGAATTCTATGCTTGTGGCTCAGTGGACCTAAGTGTGATTATTCTTGAGCTTCATGAAAACATTAAGCATTTAAGTAAAAGAGACTGTAATGCCAGAGTCCTTATAATTCTGTTATATAAATGTGAAGATTAGCCACTACAAACACCTTAAACTTGAGCTTTTAAGGGCTCATGGGCCTTGGCTCAAAGAGTTGTTAAGCTAATGGTGAGCTTCGAACTCTTAAAAGCTCAAGTTCAAGTTGCTCATAAGTCTCCACCAATGTGCATCCCACATCACTTGAGGTGGATCCTGTATTTATGGCTCAATAGGTATAGTTCTAATTATGTTTGGGCTTGATAAGGATATTAAGCATTTAAGTACGGGAGATTGTAATGCCTCAAATCCCACATCCACATCACTTGACATAAATCCTATGCTTGTAGCCTGATGGGCTAGTTATGATCTTGCTTGGACTTGATGAGAACATCAAGTATTTAAAGGGAGATTGTAATACCCCGAATCCCACATTGGTGGAGACTTGTGAGTGAGTCTAGTATATAAATGTAAAGACCAACCACTATTAACAACTTGAACTTGAGATTATGAGAGTCTGTGGACTTTGGACCAAAGAGTTATTAAGCTAGTGCTATGCTTTGGACTAAGTCATGTCACAAATGGTCTAATACCTTTCTAGATGTAATGTCAATTACTTTCGCCATGTGAATGCCATATAGACATGAATTTTTGGATTGTCTTGGGCGAGACATTCCCTTTTAGGACTTTTTTCTTTTTAGCAACTTTTTCTTTCCTCCCATTAAAATCTCTCTATTCTCTCCAGCCTCCAAGACTAAAGTCTTTGAGACAAGAAAAAAACCCTATTTCTTTTCCCTGCAATGTTGTCTCGTGAATGTGACTTTTGAGGGATTTACAAAACGTGATGAGGTCTTCAAATACAACTTCAAAGATTCCACAAGTTTTTTGTGGGTTCTACAATTTTAGGTACGGACATGTGGCCCTGCTCTTAATTGTTTAAGGAATTTAAGCTATGTAATGTGATTTCTTTACTCTTTCTCTTGGGTGCTCATATTTTTTTACATTTGTTTTATTTTTCCAATTAATGGGATGCATAGATGGTAGTTGTTGTCTTGATTCTCCAAATAAATTTTTACTTTGTATAGTTGTGTGTGAGATGGTGGTTTGAGTATATTAATTTGAGTTATTGAATCTGATTTATAGTGTATAATGGGTGAGAAAACATTGACATTTTTTCATGGTGGATTTTTCCTCCATAGCCTTGATTTATGATACATTGGAGGGGATAGGCATGTTTAAAATGTTGATAAACATAGGATCAGTTATTTTGAAATCTGAGGTATTGTAATTGATAATTTGAAGTTAAACTTTTTAAGATTATATTATAGTATACTTGGACTTGGTTTGGAGCAAGGATTATTTGAAATTCGTAATGATGTTGATGCATTAGAGATGGCACAACAGTTAATTGAACACAATAATGTGAATGTTTATATTCACAATGGGCCTAGGCATATGCTACTTGATGCACCTCATATTATTTATGATGTTATTGAAATTGATGATGATGAGAATGAGAATGAAGATAATGAAAAAATTGGTAATGCAATTGAGGGTGATCATGGTAATGATGGAAGTGATGGTGACTATATTAATGAAGCTGTTGACATATCTCAATTAAGTTCTAATGAAGAAAACCAAGTCAATGAATGAATTGATGTCTATTGGATGAGTGAAGATGGGGACCACATGGATGCTGCCAATTCTAGTTTTGTTGAGGGGTTCAAATGTCAATTTACATCATGCTAATCTAGACCAAAGCACCAGAGATAGATTTTATGTGGAAATAGATGTTCTTAGTGATAAAGAGTATGAAGTTGATAAATGCATATGGAAAACAAGTTGATTTTTGGAGGCAAACACATGTTGTGTCTAATTGCTGCTTATTGGATTGTGATTATATTTTTGTGGTACCAATAAGGGTTCATAAGGGCAAAGGAAAGGAGATTGCAGAAGATATCAATGGTGAATACAAGTTATCCAATTCCAATACATCTATTGCTAGTTCTGAAAGAGAGACTCGAACTACATTGACAGTGATGATCCAGGGGAGTATGTATCAAATTCTGGTAATGAATTCTTTGCCATTAATGATGCTCTTAGGTAGAAAATTTCATGTCTTGTTTATGACCCACTTGTGCAATTCCACATTTTGAGCTTTGTATGAAATTTCAAAATCATATCCAATTCAAGAAAGCCGTTGCCAAGTACTCTTCATACAAGGGATTTACTCAGTGGTTAAGAAATGCTCCTAATAAGAAAAGAATTAGATGTATGGCTAAAAATTGTCCATGGTATATTTCTGCAACTTATTACAAAAGGGATGGCAACTTTAAAGTGGTAGTTTTGGTTAGGGAGTATATTTGCCTTAAAAATATGAAAAATACAGCAGCCACCACAAATTTTTTAGTTGAGCATCACAACATGAGCATTCGAACTATACTAAGGATTAGAATTAGTGAGCTAATTAAGTTTAGTAAGATTAAGTGTAATGCTATCGTGAAGAAAGATGAAATGGCAAGGGCAAGAAAGATGGTGCGTCAAGAGTTAAAAACTAATTATAAAGATAAGTTTAGGGTGTTGAGAGGTTATGTGAAACTGCTAAAGGAAAGTAATCCAAGCATATCTGTCCATTTTGAAGTGACTAAGTATCCAACTGATCCAATTCCAAACTTAAAAGGATGTATGTTTGCATTGGTGCACTAAAACGTGGCTGGTTGTAGGCTAATTATAAGGATTGATGGTTGTTTTCTTAAGGGACTTTGTATCAAGATGTGACATCATTGACAACAACCTAATGGAGAAATTCAATTCTTAGATACTTGATGCAAGATGCAAGGCTATATGTAGTATGATAGATGAGCTAGGAGATAAGTTGATGGTTAGGCATGGTGAAAAGAAAGCATTTTGTAGGAAATGGCCCACTGACATTGCTCCAAGAGCATATAAGAAATTGCAAAAAAATGTTCGCATTGCAGCTTATTACCATTCACAATAAAATGGGGAAACATCATTCAAGGTTAAAAAGGACAATGAAGCATTTGTAGTTGAATTCACATATTCCACATGCACATGCCAATAATGGCAATTGACAAGGATTCCTTGCCCACATGTTTATGCTTGTCTAATTGATCAAAATCAAAATGTGGGGGAATATGTATCCCATTACTACAAGAAAGACACCTATTTGGAAGTGTACAAAGAACCAATCTATCCTTCTAGATGAGATATGAGAATCTGGAATCAAATTGGATGTGAACCAATGAATCACCACCATTTAGGCAACAAGCTGGAAGGCCGAAAAAAAATAGAAGAAAAGATAAGGATGAACCAAAGAAGGTTAGCAAGTCTCAGTTGGCTATCCAAAGGATTTCCAAATGAGGTGCTAAGATGACTTGCTGAATTTGTGGAGTTGAAGGTCACAACAAAAGTGGCTACCTTAAAAAAAATTCACTAGATGTGGTTCTTGGTCAGATAAAAGCTTATATTATAAATACTTATATGTCCGTTAAATCTTGTGGTAATTATAATATAATTAATTATCACATTTTATTTGCAGCCATCAATTATTATTAAGAAAACAAAAGATGTGGGTGAAGGACCAAACAAAGGAAATGGAAAGCAACCAACAAAGAAGTGGGAGCAAAGAACAAAGGCAAAACTAAAGTGATTGCCCAGGTTAGTCTAGTCATAACAAGCAGGAGGTTATGTGAATTTTATTTTATTGTATACCATTTTTTAAACTAAACATTGAAAAACTATTTAATTTAATTTTTTTTTTATGTAAAAGGCTTTATATAAGGGCAAAAAACATGCTTACAAGAATAGAAAAGAAGTTGATCTTGGTATCTTTAATGACCCATTGACTGGAGATGTCATTTTGGATGTAAAAGCATTATTGTCACTAGAGATTTTATTTTATTAAATCTGGTGTATATATGTATAAGTATATATATATATAATTTTTCTTTTTTGCTTATATTCAGTTATAAAAGTTTTGATTTTAACAATGTTGACTTATGTGGTTTTTTTTTTTTCATAAAAAATCATAAAACAGCCTAGACATGCTTCTGAGTTGTTTGTTTCAAGTGGAAGTCAAAGGGAAAGAAGTGGAATGCAACACGAGTTTAGGGAGATTGGGCCAACAATTGAAGTTGGAGAAAGCTCAAAACAGGGGGGCAAGAGAAATGAAAGACATGAAAATGGGATCCAAATTTCTGGGAAGAAGAAGAGAACCTCAAACAAACAGAAAAATTAAGTCTACTGTATGATTTTGCTTAAGTCTATTGTGGTATTTTGTTGGAATGTATTTTGGTTTCTAGTCTATTGTTTATGTCTACCATGGTTTTTGCTTAAGTTGGCACTGGTATTTTGGTTAGAATGTATTCTAGTCTTTCTTTTAAAAAAAATATTTATAGTGTTCTTTTATTTATGTATGTATAATGCCACTGTGGTATTCTATCTTTTGTTAGAATGTATTATGTTCAAGTAACAATGTATTCTGGTCTTTTGCTTAAAACTAGTATTTTGGTTAGAATGAATTCTGGTTGTTTGTTTAAGTCTACTGTGTTCTTTTATTTATGTCTAATATCATTGTAGTCTTTTGTTAGAATGTATTATGTTCTTTTACAATGTATTATGGTCTTTTGTTAGTTTGATATATAGTAGACTTGCAAAGAATGAGAATGTACAAAATAAACACTTTTCATTTCTAGAAACTATCATTACAAGTTGGATGTCCATTTCCAGAAACTATGATTACAGGTAGGATGGCCATTTGGTCATCTTGCATTGACAAAACAGAAACAATATGACCACTTCCTATTGCACTACACAAAATGGCCATTTGGGCATCTTACTGAGCAAAACGGACAACATAAATTGGTCGTTATTGCACCTTACTTCAACAAAATCAGAGAAGCAATGAAAACAAAAAAAAAAAAAAAAAAAAAAAAAA